CCCCCCCCCCCCCCCCCAACCCTTTTTTTTTTAATAGTTTCTTCATAATTGTTTTAGTGGCATTTAATGTTTCTCTTTACAAAATATTGGCATGAATATACTGGAGGGTTTCTCCTTTTAGCCACTCAAGAGGTCAAATTGAATCTTCCGTCAGCTGCTTGTTGTTTCCTTTCATGCTAGATTATTTGGGTGAACTTGCAGTTTCATGTGTTGCTTGGCCGGTTGGTTGGTCTAGTCTCATGACTAGAACTTCAACCACACTGCTCTACACAAAACAAAAACAGATTGTATATCAGATGAATTGTCCTGCCAATACCCAATCGATTGAGTCCCATAAAGAATATTCTAAGTTAGGGGTGTGCATTCGAATCGGTTTATCGATAAATCGAATCGATTATTTGTTATCAAAATCGAAATCGAAAAAATCGAAACCTTATTGAAACGATAACGATAAGCATATGTACAAATCGATAATCGATAAGGTCAAAATCGAATCGATAAATCGAATGCACACCCCTAGACTGTAGACACTTGTTAAATGAGTAATTACTGTAGATTAATATAACATACAGAATGTATATATGTTCCGCTACTATTTTGAAAGCGGCTATACAATATTATTTTCCCTAATCTATACCCTTTCCTTTACCCTAAGTCCCTTACCATATTATTTCATCTACCACATTTAAGGAATGATCATATTTAAAGATCAAGGGAATGAAGTTCAAATTAATGGAAAACAGAATTAGTCGTGATGATGTGTTTTGTTTTGTTTTGTTTTTTTTATACCGTTGGAGTGTTGGTGGCATACATTTGATCCCTTACTTTAGTTTTGTTGCATGTGCTTGTTGACACAATTTTTATATTATAAATGGTGTTCGTCTTATTTTAGCTTCTTTTTGTCCATATTAGTTAGGCGCGTTTATAGCGATATACTTTCCGTGGAATCCCGCAAATTTTCTTATTGGTGTAATCGATAACCGAATCGATAAGCCCCCACAATCGATAAATCGAAATCGAAAAAATCGAAACCTTATTGAAACGTTAACGATAAGCATATGTATAAATCGATAATCGATAAGTAATTATCGATAAGGGTCAAAATCGAATCGATAAATCGAATGCACACCCCTATTCTAAGTGGATAAAGTATCATGTATGCATAATGATGTTTCAAGTGAAGCGAACTATATTTTTGTCTTGTAATTCATTGTAGTTTAGCTTGGGGCTTTAATTGAAAATGACAAAAGAGTTTGGCAATTGAGTGTGGGTCCTTCAAGTTTTAAAAATTGGGTGGAAGTGACAAGTAAGTAATTATTGTTACGGAGGTCGAACCTCATTAGGAGCCTTCTTTCAGTAACCCCCAAACTTTTTTCTTAACACTTTGGCCTCTATATTTATTACCTCAAAATAATTAAAATTTAACAAAAAAGGCAAAAACCCTTCGCAGCCTTCTTCTTCTCATAGCCACCAGTGCTGCTCCTCCTACTATCCTCCTCCTGCTTCTTCTTTAGGAATCTAGTCTCCCCAAATGTTTTTCAATAGTATATTCGCAATTGCATGTGTGTTTTTGTTGAGTAGATTTGTGGAGAATAATTTTTGTTGTAAAAGAGTTTCAAAATATTGTTGGGTCTTTTTTGGATTGTATTTGGTTAGTTCTTCGGTTGGGAATTACTTTAGAGGACCATTTATTGTCTATTGGTAAGTGAAAAAAGATTAATTTGTGTCCATTTTTTAGCTGGAGTGAATTAGTGAAACCAACTTCGTAGTTTCAGCCAACAACTTTCGTAGTTGTCGGAACAACTACTGAAGTTGTTCGAAGAAATAGTTGGATATCTTCAACAACTTTCTTAGTTGTCTGAACAACTTTTGAAGTTGGAAGAAATAATTGAACATATGTCTGAAAAATACAGAAGTTCTCGAGACAACTAATACAACTGTCCGAAAACTATGTGTAGTTGTTGGACAACTGTAGAGCAACTATTGCAACTTCTGTAGTTGTTGGAAGAAATAGTTGGGCAATTACGGAAAGTTGTCCCTATAACTACTAAAGTTGTGAGACAGCTGTTGGTAGTTGTGGGACAACTGAAGAGTTGTAGCACATCTAGCGATAAGTAATCAAGTTATTTTGCAATTTTGAAGCTGTTTGATGAATCTATCTCTTATAATGATAAATTTAATGAAAATTGATGATCAATTGAGCCATACTATGGCTAGAAAGAAAACAACATACTGTTTAATTGCTCAAAAAAGTGAGCCATACTATGAATTATATTATTATTAACGATAAACATAATGGTTCAGTTATAATTGAAGATCGATCGAGTGATTCTATTATTATTAAGGATAAAGGTAGTGATTCAATAACAATTGAAGATCGATCGAGTGATTCTATCAATTATTACACATAAATGAAGTAATTTGATGACAATTGATGATCACTTGAGCTATTCTATGAATTATTAAGAATAAACGTAATGACCCTATTACCGATACTATGAATTAGCTAAGAGTTGTTGGGACAACTACAAAAATTGATTGAACAATTGATGTAGTTGTTGGGACAACTAGAAAAATTGTTGGAACAACCGAAGAAGTTGATGGGACAACTAAAGAAGTTGATGGGACAACTGAAGTAGTTGTTGGGCAACCACATAATTGTTGTAGCAATTAAAGTAGTTGGGATATTTTTACTGCTTTTATAGACCTAATGTATGGTGAAAGAGTGTAAAGAGAAGAAAATAGAATGAAAAATCAATATATACACATCTAGTTGATAAACCTACATAGTAACTAATTGTCCATTAACTCAAAAGTAACCATCTTAAGTAACTAATTGTCCATTAAACCAAACTAGTACAAAAAACAACCTCATGCACAACGAAATTTTAAAAGTGTCATTCAGTAAATGGTTGAACATCCCGCTTTTCTTGAGCAGTTTGGGCCACAATTCGAGGATGGCCAGTCCTCTTTGCCCTAGCATTCTTAGCCTTGATATTCATGGTCAGTCTTCGTACTAACCCAAGAGTACAAGGAAATCGTCTTGCATACCTCAGTATTATAGTGCTCATAGGCAGGAGCCCCTCCAACTTGCTTGACAAGGAATTCATTGCCTCCGTTAGGGCATTATGCTTATCATAACATTTTTTGCTTTCACGTCAACACAAATTTGGTGTTTTGGTCACTCCAGATGAATCTCCTTTCCTACCAATATCAACTGCATAGGAATCTCCTCCTCTTACCCCACCAACATATCTGCAAATATCAAAGTCCACATGGACTAGCGGCTCTCTTCTCGCCAATTTCTAACATCATTTGCCCAACACCATCTCTCTCAACACGACCAACTCTCTCAAGACTCTCCACTATCAACTTTCTCCATTCTTATGGTTGTTACCATGGCCAACTTATCTTTCAAAGCATTACTTTTGGGGTCCGGGCTATCTTTAAAGGGCTCAATGTCTTGAATGTAAGTCTCCTCCTCTCCATTTGTTGGGAAAAAAAGGGTGCATAATCTTCTGCATTTTTAAAACAAATTAATAAAAATACTAATATGAATTTTTAGTACAACTACTGAAGTTGTGCAGCAATTGCAGTTGTTCCTACATCTATGTAGTTGTTAAGTTGCCCAAGAATTACACTAGTATCACAGCTGCATAGTTGGTTCAACAACTTTTGTTGTCCCAACAACCTTGTTTACTGAATTAATTGTGTGTAGAACACTACTGAAGTTATCTAGTTGTATATCTTACATCTTCTCTTGTTTGGACGAGAGGATCAACATTTGTCGCATAACCGGGTTTCGCGACCAACTATCTAATCATTTTTAGAATTGATTTCTCAGGTAAAGTATCCTAAGCCATTTGTACCAGTGTTATTAAAAGCGAGCGCTTCTCGCTTAAAGCGCAGAAGCAAGGCTCTCCGTTTGTTGGGAAAAAAAGGGTGCATAATCTTCTGCATTTTTAAAACAAATTAATAAAAATACTAATNTTTTGGCAAATTAATTCCCGGTGCCTTCGCCCTGACATGAGCGGTTGAAGTGACTGAAAAGTTGCCTTTTGTACGACTCCCAAAATCATTAATTATAGGCGGCTGACGGTCGGCCTTTTGGCTTCCTCAGCATGTTTTAACGATCTTTATAAATAGATGAATCCCACTAACTTTTCTAAACTTTGTTCCCTCAATGCTTCCTAAGTATCTCTTAGTCCTTTTCTAATTTCCTTGAACTCTCCTTTCTTTTACTAACAACATTTTCATCTTTTTGGATCCACCGCATAGTGATGGCTAAAACTTCCAAATCTGTTCCTCAAAAGGAAAAAGCTCCTTCATCTTCCCGATCGACTAAGAGTAGAACACAACTGAAGTTGTCTAGTTGTATATCTTACATCTTCTCTTGTTCGGACAAGAGGATCAACATTTGTCGCATAACCGGGTTTCGCGGCCAACTATCTAATCATATTGATTTCTCAGGTAAAGTATCCTAAGCCATTTGTTGAACCAGTATTATTAAAAGGGAGCGCTTCTCGCTTAAAGCGTCGAAGCGAGGCAAGGCGCAACCCTTGCGCTTTTCTACCCTAAAGCGAGGCATGGGATAAAAAGCGCTGCCAGAAGCGAGAAACAAGGCGCTAGAAAAATGCGAGAAAAGCTCGCTTAAGCGAGGTCGACGGCGGCTTAGGGTTTTATTTTAAAATTTTGCGAATACACGCTTACGCGACTTTTCTTCCAAAACATCTGCTTAGAGTGACTGCTTCAAGCCTTGCGACATCTCTTCCTCTTCTCTTGATTGTTGCGACTTCTTTCAAGGTAAGTTTCTCTTCTCTTCTTCTCTTTCTTCTCTTCTCTTCCTCTTCTGCTTTTCTCTTCTTTACCTGCTTCCTCTCGATTTGTCTTCTCGTTTCTCTTCTTTTTTTTCTCTCCTTTTCTATTTTTTTTAGTTCGTCTCTTTTTTGGCTGTATTTTCTATGTTATGCTGTTTTTTAATCTCCGTTGACTCTTCTATTTTTTTTCTTTGTTTTAACCTTTTTTTTGTGATTGTAGTAAATTTTGTCTTTTTATTAAGTGGCATCAAGCCAAAAAAAATCCAGCTTGGGCGTATGGAGTTGCAATTGGCAGTAGCACAAAATTCCAATGTATCTCTTATCAAAATATATATATATATATATATATATATATATATATATATTTATTTATTTATTTATTTATTTATTTATTTATTTATTTATATAACAGTGGAATACATCATCACAAGAAACATCTAATTTGTGGTTATAGAGATGTCAATGTATGTCCAAATGTTCCGGATTCTGTTAAGGAAAAAACGAGAGTATGTTGCGAAAAAATGAGTTAAAAAATCCAATGAGCCATGGAGTATCTATGGTTAATCTTGTTGATGAGATATTCAAATGGATGAGGATGACTTTGAAGCCAATGATATATCAATGGGCCGCCTTCCTCAAAATCTCAAAGAAAGATTTCAATTAGCGGAAGTGGATCATCCACGGGTAGCAATGTGAAAGGTCCTCTCAATCTTTGTTCTCGCAAAAACCAAATGAAAAAAGGTGAAGCTATTGATTTAAGCGCGCTCTAGATGCTTTTGCTAGGTGAATGTATGATGCAAGGCTCTCTTTCAATTGTGTCAGTTACACCGATGGTTTTGGTGAATTCATTGAGGCCGTAGGCCAATCTGGCCCAGGAATGAAGCCCCCTACCTATCACGAAGTAAGAATTCCTTGTCTAAAAAAAGGAGGTGGAGAAGACAAACAAGATTGTCGAGGAGCATAAGGCGCAGTGGCAAACTTATGGATGTTCCATTATGATGGATACATGTACAGAAAAAAAATGAGGAAATGGTCATTAATGTTTTGGTGAATTCTCCTAGAGGTAGTGTGTTTCTTGAATCTTATGATGCTAGTGACTCTTCTACCAATTCCAATAAAATGTTCAACTTATTTGGGAAGACTATTGAAAATTGGGAAGGAAAATGTTGTGCAAGTTGTTATCGATAACGCAAGTGACAATAAAAAAGCGGGTGACATATTGAAGGGAGTGTTCCCGAAACAATTTTTGGACTCCTTGTGTTGCCCATTGTATCAACTTTGATGTTTGGTGACATTTTCAAGTTAGCCCCATATTCTGCGGGTGAACAAGTGGTTCTAGTTATCCTTTGTAACTTTCATGTTAATTGTTTATACTTATTAACTGAAATTTGATTTTCTACTGTTTTTGCGGAGGCGATTAAGATACATTCTTACTTTAGTCAGAGGCCATTATTGTCGAACATAATGAGGAGGTACATAAACCAAAGAAATTTGGGAAATCGGTTAAGACAAGATTCGCGACAGCTATCCTGACTTTGCATAGTTTGTACTTGCAAAAGAACTTGAGAACCTTGTTCATGTCAACTGAATGGAGTGAGATTATCTATGCAAAGGAAGCTCTTGGGAAAGAAGTTGCGAGCTATATTGTTGGTCCATATTTTTGGAATGACACTATTCAAGCACTTAAAGTTGGTAATCCTTTGGTTACTGTACTTGGTTTGGTGGATGGGGAGAGAGAACCACCAATGGGATATATTTATGAAGCCATGGATAGGACCAAAGAAGCTATCGAGAAGACATTTGATAAAGATAAGAGGAAATATGGGGAAGGTTTTGAAATCATTGATGCAAGGTGGGCGGATCAACTTCATCAACCTTTGCATGCAACAAGGCATATTTTGAACCCCGAGTTCAAATATATAAATAAAGAGAAGAAGACTTTAGATAAAGAAGTGTGGGGATATCCTGCATGTATTGCGAGGTTGATACCAGATGAAGCGCTGCAAGACAAAATAGGGGAGGAGCTTAGTATACATGCAAGCAAATGGAATATTTGGATTAGGTTCGGCCATTAGAGCCAGAACCAAATTGTCACCAGGTAAGCAAGTTGTTTCAATTGTTTTTATTCTTTAGAGCTTCAACTTTTAAGTTATTAACTTCTAAAATAATACTTTTTACAGTTGAATGGCGGATGCAATTTGATTATTACTTAACTAAAGTGTATCTCAGTTGTCCAAAGTACTCGTCTTAATTACTTTCTACAACTTATGTACATATTCATACTAAGAAGAGTAATAGACTTGAGCTAAAGAAACTCAATGATCTAGTGTTCGTTAAATATAATATAACATTTGGCGCGTTGTTACAAAGCTCACAATACCGTTGATCCAATTTTGTTGGATAGCATTGATGAAGCAAATGAATGGTTAACTGGAGCCCCCCAATATCATGAATTAGAAGAAGTATATGAAGGAGAAGATCTCACTTTTGGTCATGTTTCTATGGCAAGTGGAGTTGAGGAGGATATTTATGGTTTTAGGGGTGGGTGGGTGGGGGTCGGGGGGGGGGGGGAGCTCTTTAAGTAGCAAAGAAATAGTAGCTTCAAGTTCAAGTAGAACCCCAATTGATGAAGCCTCCGATGAAGAAGAAGATGATGACCAATATAATTACTCGAACGTGATGACAGTTCGAGAGTTTGGAGATCTTGTTGAAGAATAAGATGTTGCTCCCTTCGTGATTTGGTTTTGCATTTGCTTAATATGTTATGACTTATGAAGATTATTGACTATTTAGTTCTAGTATCTATTATTTACTTATTTATTTAAGAATTGAAAGATTTGCTTAATATGTCCTTTTTATTGAGTCCTTGGTCATTTTTTATGCCTATATAATATTTTTTATTTATGTATTAAATTGCGCTTCACATGAAAAAACCGAGCACTTCGCTTCACGCTTCTCGCTTCGATGAAGCAAGGGCTCGTCGCTTTTTTCCACTGCTCGCTCTCCAACACACTGTGTTGAACTACTGTAATGGCAAATGCCCAAGTCTATATTGTAATAAGTGAAATGCAATTTAATGTATAACATAAAATCAAAATAGTAATTTAACTAAAAATTATAAAATGGAAAAGCATTTTAATTACTTGCCTCAAATGCCCACGGAAAGTCGTAGAGGTTACATTGGATTTTGGATGGTTTCAATTCTTTCACTAGATATTTAATGGTAAGGTCGAAGCTTATTCGACCCCATGGAGATATAAATCGAATAATTCTTTATTCGACGCCACTTTTAACCGGTCGGTGTCTACCTTCTTTTTTGCATCTTTTTCGCATAATATGTTGTGCAATAATCAAAATAAGCTCATTGCCACCTTTTGCTCTTAGTCATGACAGCGAATTCGTTGGTGTCAAAACAAATATGCATGTCATTGTAATCATACCAAAGCTCTTTTTTATTTTCATAGAAGACTTGGTGAAGAAGAAGGACATACACGAACTTCATTAGGAGTTGTAGCACTTATCTTTTTGCAAGTCTAAAAAGTGATCAAAATAACTTTTTTCGAATATCCTTCTCAATACCCTCATTAATCATCGGAAACAACCTCTCTATCTCCACAAGGTAGGGATAAGATTGCGTACACACTATCCTCCCCAGATCCCACTATACTGGGTTTGTTGTTGTTGTTGTTGTAATACCCTCATTGATAAAAAGCTTTCTGAACTAACAACAACAACAACAACAACCTAGTGAAATCCTATAAGTAGGGTTTAGGGAGGGTAGTGAGTACGCAGACCTTACCGCTACCCCGAGGGAGTAGAGAGGCTGTTTCTGAAAGACCCTCGGCTCACGAAGACGAAAAGAGACAATACATCACTATCATCAATAGAAACCATATAAATAATAACAGCGACATAAGAACCAGAAAATAGATGAAAAGAAATAACCATAACAAGTAAATAAGGCCCGATACTATGGAAAAAGCTTTCTAAACTTAACAAACTAATTTCCAAAGCCGGATCTCACAGTGACTCTTCACTCATTAAGGCCAAGACATGTTCAAGTGGGTCTTAAATCCATACTTTCCAATGTCAATAGTCTTTACACATTTAGGGTCGAAAGAGTCTCGAGATCACTGTCAGCATCACCAACATCATTTGATGATCCAGTAACTTTAGAATTGTTATCACCATAAACATCATCATCTGATCCAGCAACGGCTGCTGATGTCAATAGTCTTTAAACATTCAGTTGAATGCTAATTTTTACTACACTCATTTCTTTCTTCACTAACCTGGTTCTCACCCATGTCATCAGCCACAGTTCTATCTTCCTCCTCTTCTTCATTCGATTGCTAAGTTGTAATCTCACCATTTTTTCTTCTTCACTTGACTGTTCACCGCTACTCTCATGTGTTTCCTTTTCACCAGCCAGAGTCTTATGTAAAAGAAAGGTAAAAAGAAAAAGAACTTTGGTGTGATTTCAATAGCATACCTATTTGTTTTGGCATCAATTAGTTCGCTATCATGACTGGACTCTGATGTCATTCTCTCCCCTCCTTATTAGCAGTTATTAGAGGTTGGAAAAGAGGGTGAAAATTTGGGTGATATAGTAGGAAGTCCAGTGTTTTGGAAAGCGATAAGCGCAAAAAAGCGACGAGGCCTCGCTTCACCGAAGCGAGAAGCGCGAAGCGAAGCGCGCGCTTTTTTCATTTGAAGCGCAATTTAACACATAAATAAAAAAAAATAGGCATAGATAAATGGCTAAGAACTCATTAAAAATAACATATTAAGCAAATGTTTCAATTCTTGAATCAAGAAGCAAATAATAGATACTAAAACTAGATAGTCATAACATATTAAGCAAATGCAAAACAAAATCACAAAAGGAGCAACATCCTATTCTTCAACAAGATCTCCAAACTCTTGAAGTGTCATCATGTTCGAGTTATTATATTGGTCTTCTTCTTCTTCTTTATTAGAGGCTTCATTAATTAGGGTTCTACTTGTACATGTAATTGTACTTGTAGATACTCTTTCTTTGCTCCTTAAAGTACTTCCCCGAAAACTATTAACATTCTCTTCAACTCCACTTGCCATAGCAACATGACCAAAAGTGAGACCTTCTCCTTCAAACACTTCTTCTTCTTCTTCATAATTTTCGGGGCCTCCGATTAACCATTCATTTGCTTCATCAATGTTATCCAATAAAATTGGATCAATGATATTGCGAGCTTTGTAACGACGAGCCAATGTTCTATTATATTTTACGAACACGAGATCATTGAGTTTCTTTAGCTCAAGCCTGTTCCTCTTCTTACTATGAATCTACATAATAATATGTAGAAAGTAATTAAGAAGAGTACTTAGGACAATTGAGATAAACTTTAATTTAGTAATAATGTAATATAGCTTCTCACATGTTCATAAATACTCCAATTTCTCTCGCATCCGGATGAGCTACAAGTTAAGCTTTGAACTCTAATAGCAAATTGTTGCAAGTTTGGAACTTCATAACCAAATTGCATCCACCATTCAACTGTAGAAGTATTATTTTAGAAGTTAATAACTTTGAAAGTTAAGCTCACCTGGTGCCAATTTGGTTCTGCCTCTAATGGCCGAAGCTAATCCAAGAATTCCATCTGCTTGCATATACAGACCAAGCTCTTGCCCTATTTTGTCTTGCATCGCTTCATCTGGCACCAACTTCGCAACACATGCATGATACCCCTTCCAAACGTCTAAATCTAAAGTCTTGTTCTCATTGTTTGTGTAAAACATTCCGGGGTTCAAAATATGCCCTGCTGTATGTAATGGTTGATGAAGCTGATCATCCCACTTTTTATCAATGATTTCAAACACACTCTCATATTTCCTCCTATCATGATCAAATGCCTTCTCAATAGCTTCTTTAGCCCTATCCATGGCTTCATAAATGTATCCCATTGGTGGTTTTTTCTCCCCATCCACCAAACGAAGTACAATAACCAAAGGATTACCAACTTTAAGTGCTTGAACAATGTCATTCCAAAAATATGGACCAATAATAAATCTCGCAACTTCTTTCCCAAGAGCTTCCTTTGCATAGATACTCTCACTCCATTCGGTTGACAAGAACAAGGTTCGCAAATTTTGCTTTTGCAGGTAAAAGCTATGCAAGGTCAAGATAGCTGTTGCGAATCTTGTCTTAGCCGGTTTCACCAAATTTCTTTGTTTTGTGTATCTCCTCATTATGTTCAACAACAACGACCTTTGACTAATGTAAGAATGTATCTTGATCGCCTTAGCAAAAGCGGTAGGAAGTCAAATTTCATAGTTAATAAGTATAAGCAATTAACATGAAGGTTAAAAACTTAAAATAGAAAATAAGAACCACTTGTTCAACTGTAGAATATGGGGCTAACTTGAAAATGTCATCAAACATCAAGTTGATACAATGTGCAGCACAAGGAGTCCAATAAATATTTGGGAAAACTCCTTTCAACATGTCACCCGCTTTTTTATTCTCACTTGCGTTATCAGTAACAACTTGAACCACATTTTCCGGTCCAACTTTCAATATTGTCTTCTCAAACAAGTTGAACATTTTATTGGAATCGGTCGAGGAGTCACTAGCATCATAAGATTCAAGAAACACACTACCTCTCGGATAATTCACCAAAATATTAATGACCATTTTTCCATTTTTTGCAGTCTATTTGTCCATCATAATGGAACAACCATAAATTTTCCATTGCGCCTTATGCTCCTCGACAATCTTATTTGTCTTCTCCACCTCCTTTTTTAGACAAGGAACTCTTACTTCGTGATAGGTAGGGGGCTTCATTCCTGGGCCATATTGGCCAACGGCCTCTATGAATTCACCAAAACTATCGGTGTAATTCACACAATTAAAAGGGACCCCCGCATCATACATCCACCTTGCAAAAGCATCTACAGCACGCTCCCTTAAACTCTTCCTACAAGAATCTAAGCCAATGGCTTCACCCTTTCTCTTTTCATTTGGTTTTTGTGAGAAAAAAAGATTAAGAGTACCTTTCACATTGCTACTGGCGGTGGATGATCCACTTCCACTTGTTGAATTCTTTCTTTGAGATTTAGAGGGAGGTGGCCTCATTATATCATTGACTTCAAGGTCATCCTCATCCATTTGACTATCTTCATCAAGAAGATTAATCGTAGATGCTCCATGGCTCATTGGATTTTTAACTCATTTTTTCTCTCAACATAATCTCTCATTTCTTTCTTAATAGTATCCGGAACACTTGGACATTCTTTGACATCTCTAAAACCACCGATTAGATGTCTCTTGTGACGATGTATTCCACTGTTATAAATTTTTTGACAAAAGATACATTGCACTCTTGAGTTATTATTGCCAACTGCAACTCCATACACCCAAGCTGAATCTCTTTTTTGGCTTGATGCCATTGAATAATCAAATTAAATTTACTACAATCAACAACCAAAAAAAAACATAACAGTTAATTCATACGAACCAGAAAACAGAGCATAAAGCAGATGATAAAGCATAAAATAGAGCATAAAGCATAAAACAGAGCACAAAGTAGAACAGAAGAAGAAGTCGTTTAGGGCACAAAATCAGCGCTTAAAAAGTAAAAAAAATTGAAAGAAGAAGAGAAGAAGAAGAAGAAGAACAGAAGAAGGAGAAGAAGAAGAAGAAGAAGAAGAAGAAGAAGAAGTCGTTGAAGAAACTTACCGAGAACTGGAGACTTCGTCGTCGCTGGAGTTCGCTGGAGAAGAATCGTTGAAGAGCGTATGTTTATTTTGTTAACAGATGGCTTATTTGCCAAATTTATTTTAAAAAACCCTAGCAGATGCCTTCTTGCTCGCTTAAGCACGCTTTTTTATCGCTTTTCCATCGAGGCGCTTCTCGCTTAAGCGGGAGAAGCGAGCACTTTTTAAATGTGAGTCGCTTTTGTACCTAAAAAGCGTTAGCCCTGCGCCTTGCGTCGCTTCGTCGCTTAAAGAGAGAAGCGAGCGCTCTTAATAACACTGAGGAAGTCTGCTAACTATGTTTTCTTCATTGAGAAGGTAAAGTATCCTACGAAAAAGCAAAAGGTAACAATGAGCGTGGTTTGGTTTTTGAACAACATATTATGTGCAAAAAAGAAGTTAGACACCAACTAGTTAAAAGTAGCGTCGAATAAAAAATTATTCATTCATATACATGAGAGTCGAATAAGTTTCGACCTTACCATTAAATATTTTGTGAAAGAATTGAAACCATCCAAAACCAATAATAACCTTTACAACTTCATGTGGGCGTTCACGGTATGTAATTAAAATGTGTTTCCATTTTAATTTTGAGTTAAATTATTATTTTGGTTTTATGTTGTTGTTGATGTACATTAAACTGCATTTCACTTATTACAATATAGACTTGAGCATTTGGAGCATTCAAATAGTTTGACTAATGGCTAAGGAAGAGATCAATTCCAAGAATGATTAGATGGTTGGCAGTAAAACCCGCTTATGCGACAAATGTAGATCCATCCTCTTGGCTAGATAACTTCAGATGTGTTCTGCACCAACTACTTAAGTAAACAACACTCTAGTTGTTGTTGGACCAACTATGCAGTTGCGGGAACAATAAGTTCAATTGTTGGGCAACCGATGTTGTGGGAATAACAACTGAAGTTGTTGCATAACTTTAGTAGTTCTGTTAATAAAAGCATTAGAGTATTTTAATTTTTTTTTGGTGAAATGTAGAAACAGATTTGTGCACCTTTTTCTTTTTTCCAACAAACAAAGAGAAAGGGAGGCATACATTCAAGATATTTAGGGATCGTTTGGTACAATAGTGAGTTAGACAAGGATATCCCATAGGTTTAGTTATCCAACCTTCTCTATGAAATAGTTAATCTCACCATTTTAATATAAAATTTATCTCGGGATGCTAATACCTATAACTAAACATGGGATAAATATAACCTCAAATTCTATCCCAGAATTAATATCCTTATTCTTCCTACCAAACGACCTCTTAGTCTTTTGAAGATAGTCCAGACCCCAATATTGATGCTTTATAAGATGAGTTAGCAACAACCATAAGAATGGAGAAAGTTGGTGGTAGGGAGACTCTTGAGAGAGATTGTATTGGGCAAATGATGTTAGATATTTGTGAGGAGATCGACTAACCAAGCTGCTGATCTTTTGGTAGGGTAGGAGGAGGAGACTCCTATGCACATCAGATCTTGATAGGGGAGGAGATACTCCTGGAGTGACCAAAACACTAGGTATGAGTACTTCCAAGGTTCTATGTTGCTGTGAATGCAAAAATTGTTGTGAATCCATAATACCCTGATGGAGGCAATCAATTCCTTCTCATGCAAGTTAGAGGGGCTCCAACCAAAGAGGACGATAATACCGAGCTATGCAAGGCAAATCTCCTTATACTCCTGGTTTAGCCAGAAGACCAGTCATAACCCAAACTACTTGAGAAAAGTAGGATGGTCAACCATATGTTGAATGACACCTTAGGGATTTGGTTGTGTATGGGATTGTTCTTTGTACTGGTTTGGTTGAATGGATAGTTAATTGAGATGATTATTTTATGGTTAATGGAGTTGCCCAATAACTGCTTCACTTGGCCCAACTATTTCTTTAATTGTCTCATCAATTACTTCAGTTGTTCCATCAATTTCTCTAGTTATCCCCACAACTCTTAATGTAGTTTTTCCACTTTGGCTGAAATTTATTTTCTCTAGCACCTTTTCAACCATAGATACCCTTAGAATGAGCTTCTTTTGATCAGCCAAAAAGACGCAAACCACGATCATCCCTTATCTTAGAAAGAGATGCCTTTTGCTTTTCATCAAAGCCGAGCACGTTTGTAATGGAAAGATACTCTATATTACAATTTAACCCAAACCTAGAAATAATTATCTCAATCAACTCATCATACGTAATATTCTCACTCATCTCTATCGGTATTGTCTTTTAACCCTTTGGACACCAAGTATAACGAGTAGGATTTTCTACCTATTTACCATGTATCAACTCTTATTATTATTTCGTCCCCTCGTTGATGGTCACATAACTGACATCACAAAGATATAATTCAGTGGTCCTTACCGGAGATAGATTTATCAAACAACTTCAAAATTGCTAAAGAGCTCGATTACTTGTCCCTACAACTCTTTAGTTGTCCCATAGCTACCAACAATTGTGGGACAACTTGTGTAATTGTCCAACTATTTCTTCAAACAACCGCAGAAGTTGTTCCACAACCGCATTAGTTGTCCCAACAACTATTCAATTATCAGTAAAAAGGAAATTCTAACAAGCTTTCTCTCTCTAGGCTGTCGGCGCACGTTATGGTAACGTACGCCGTCTGAGAAACAGCCATGGCGAGAAAGCGAGGACGACCAAAGCGAGATCCACTCGTGACGGTCGGAGAAGCAATAAGTGCAACGGTAATCGCAGATACACTAACTAACGGAAATACACAGCAAGTAGCCACCCCAGTTGGTAGCCAATTTCAACCTAGTTTTCGGAAATTAAGTTCTCCAAGCAAAACAACAGGACCAACGAAATGGCTAAATCTAAGTGCAATACAGATGAATGTGTCTTCGTCGTCTTCTGAAGGCACACCAGTGAGTAATGAAGTGGGAAATACGAAGGACAAAGGAGAAATTGCTGAAGCTGAGCTAAAAATCAATGGAACAGTAACAACAAAGGGGACTGTTGAGCCACAATTGATACATGCAGAGGCACCTTTGCTGGGAAACACATGGGTCAACTTGTTTGCTAGTAATAGATCTTCAGAAAACGGTATGGCACTCTCTTATATTCCTCTAGAAATAGTTGATGGTAATGTTGTGGTGAAGCTGGACAAGGATGAAATTGATACTCAAACTAAAAAGTGGTAGTGTGCCTTAATTATCTATGTAATTGGGGATACACCTAGGTATAAATTCATGCAGAGGTACATAGCTCAAAATTGAAGTCGAGTGGCTGCTCCAAATCTATTCTTACATGAGGGAGGGTATTACATAGCTAACTTTCATACGCTTGGTGACTTGAAGGATATCCTTTATGGAGGTCCATACACAATCATTTGTAGACCAATGATTCTAAAGCAGTGGACTCCTGAATTTGATCTTAAGGCAGAATTTCTGACTGAGATACCGTTGTGGATTACTCTACCAAAGTTACCAATGAGTTGCTGGGGTAATAAGGCCTTGAGCCAAATGGCAAGTGCCATAGGAAAACCACTTTTCGCAAATGAATGCACAACAAAGCAGATGCGTATCTCTTATGCTAGAATTCTGGTGGACGCAAATGTCACTAAAAAGCTTCCAACAGAAATTGACACTACAAGAGCCTTCAGGGAGAATGTTCCAACAACAAGTGCTGTATGAATGGAAGCCGAACTACTGCACAGAATGTATGAAGATTGGGCATGATTGTGAATTGACTAAACGAGCAAACAAAGAAGAGCAGCCTAAAGAAAGGAAAAAACAAGGTAAGGTTACTACAAGATGGCAAATTAAAGGGCAGGGACAGCAGCATCCAGTTGAGCAGAATGATGTAACAACCAAAGCACTGGTACATGAACTTGCTACTGAGCTACCAGTTACTGAAATTAATGTGATTAATGTGACCCCTGCAACAACAAAGGATAAAGGGAAAGCAATTACTAGTCAAAAACCTTAACAGATTGAAGAATGGCATGTACTAACTAGTAATAGAAGAGTTGTTCATGGGACACCTTCATACCAACTAAGAATGGATTCCAAATTTTGCAAAGAGAAGATGAGAGAATTGAGAACCCTATGCCACCAGATAGGGGGGGGGGGTGTGGAAGAGTCCTACAACAATGACTTGGTTAATTTGGAACTTCAAAGGTTTGAATAAGAGATACAAGCAAAATGAAATAAAGCAGTACATAAAGGACAAGCATATCAAGCTAGCTGGTCTCGTAGAAAAAAAGGTGAAAGGAGCTAAAGCAGAAAAGATGATAAGTAAAATAACACCTGGATGGAACAAGATAACTAATTATGAACATGCTGTGAATGAAAGGGTGTGGATTGTATGGGATGACCAAATGTATACAGTGCAGCCACTTGATAAGCAAGATCAACTCATTCATTGTCAAGTAACAGGGAAATACAAGGGATTACAATGCTATCTCACTGTGGTATATGGACGGAATTTAGCTGATCAAAGGAAAAAGCTATGGCAGCATCTCCAAAGAATAGCAAAGGCAACTAATGGACCTTGGATAATAGGGGGAGACTTCAATGCACTACTCACTCCCCAAGATAGAAAGTCTAAGGTGCCTGTGACTACTGCAGACATTAGAGATTTTGCTGAGCTGTGCCATGATATTTGCATTGCAGAGCTTCCATGGAGAGGGGATTACTTTACTTGGACTAACAAACAATAAGGTGATGATAGAGTATGGAGTCGCATAGATAGGGTGTTTGGAAATGATCTATGGATGATGAATTATGGCCATTTTGTCATTATGGGGAGCCTTATATCTCTGATCGTAATCCTATGAGTATCAATATAAGGCAACCTAGGACTCAAACACATTCAGGTTCTTCAATGTGTGGACAAATCACCCAACATTCAAGATGATAGTTGCTGAAGGTTGGAGCAGGAACAAAACAGCAGGGAAAATGAAGAACATTTGGCTCAAACTCAAAGAGATGAAAAGTCAGTTTAGACAACTAAATACAACTGACTTTAAATGAATAACTGAAAAGATAGACCAAGCTAGACAAGCAATCTCTCACATTCAAAGTCAGATACAAACAAAGTATTCTGATCTACTACAAGAACATGATGAGTGGTTGCATAAGTTGGAGACATGGTCACTTGTGGAAGAAGGGATACTGCAGCAAAAGGCACGAGCCAATTGGATCAAATTGGGGGACTCCAACAATAAATTCTTTTCTGCAGTTATAAAAGAGAGACAACAAAAAAAGCAGATCACTAAAAGTCTAATGGGATCTAGGGAAAATGCCTGCTGTTAATATGCTGGTTATGAGGAATGGTCCAACCTTAACACAACAACAACAGAAAAGAGCTGAGTGCAGAAATAACTTATCAGGAGATATATGATGGGATGAAAGATATTGGAAGTTATCTAGCAACTACATACGATTGTCGAACAACTTAGTAGTTGCTGGAATAACTTTTGTATTTGTTAGACAGATGTCCAATCGTGTTCTCCAACAACATAAGAAGTTATTCCGAGAATTACGAAAGTTATTAATTAAAACAACCACGTTGGCTTCGCTAAACCTAACTGAAGAATGGACACAAAATATTCCTTTGTCACCTATCAACAGATAATGAATGTTCCTTGAAGTAATTTCCAGTTCAAGAACTTACCAAATGCAGTCCAAAAAGACCCACCAATGTTTTGAAATTCTTTTTCCATAAAACTTATTTTCCATAGATTTTCTCAACAAAAACACATACAATTTCGAATCTACTACTGAAAAACATTTTGGGAGATTAGACAATTACCTACTTGTCACTTTTACCCAATTTTTAAAACTTGAAGGACACCCACTCAATTGCCAAACTCTTTTGTCGTTTATTAATTAAAAGCCCCAACTAATAGTTGCTAATAAAATTCCCCTCCTCTTTTGAGAGGGGATTCTTTCTGGATGTGGAAGCAGAGAATATTCATCAAATAACCACAATAATCTTTGCGTTAATCCTTCTTTGTGACTATCTTCTTGCAAAAGAATATTGTGAAACAAATGAGAAAGGGTGTCCTTGTTCTTTTTGCAAATTATGCACCAAATTTTACTTTAAAGGTTTTAAAAGCCTTTTAACCGTAACAGGTCATTGGTCTTAAGCTTTTGATGAAGCAAAGACCACACAAGTGCCTATTTTACTGGAAAGTTAGCTTTTCAGATTAGAAAGGCCAAAGGGCTTTCCTTAAGGTACCTGGAGTTTATGCTTATTCAAACTGTGGATTTGAATGAACGTGTATTGCTAGTTATCTAATGCATTAACATCTCATAACTGCTAACCTGAGAATTGATTTATGTTGCCGGTTCCCGTATAAACTCTAGGTTTTGACATAGTATTTATGCTAGCTCTGAAATCATGTTTGTTAGTTTTGCAGGGGAGTCACTCTTGTGGAAAAAGATGATTTGTACATACGTTATGGTTGTATAACATCACTTGCAAAGGTAATAATATCATCTAGAGAAAAGAAGAGCTGTTTTACACTTGGGCTCGTGTAAATGTAAGATTACACCACTTGCAATAAATTATATTTGACAAAGCGTGCAGACTATTCTTCTTTGAAGCTTCCACCATTAATCTCTAATTTAGAAGCCCATCTGGAGTTTGGTCCGTCGATCTTTAAACCTATGTCAAATAATGTATTACTACTAAATTTGCAGAAATTATCCTGCAGTTTATAGGTTTGTAATATCTTGATCTGGTGACATGTATTTTGTACAAACAGTATGCACAGTGACAATAAGTCCTACTGAAGTTTAATGGTTGTATCATCTTAATCAGGATACTCCATCTATTTCTTTCGTATACAAATTTTAGAATTTAGGTCTTAATCTGCTGATTACCAAGACAGCGTTTCTTCGCTCGCCATCCCTGATTGTGGTTAATTTTAAGTCGACATGGTCTCTCTATTGGCACGCAGTCTCGCTTTTTGCTGGTAGAAGGTTTTCACGACTAACCGTTGTTTTCTTTCATTGTTAATCACCTTACTATCTTCTTGATTTTTATTATGCTTTTATACGGCTTTTTGGTACTGTTCCTTGTCTATATTTTCACTAATGGGGTGCTTATGCTTTCCTGAGCCGAGGGTTTATTGGAAACAGACTCTCTATCCTCACAAGGTAGGGGTAAGGTCTGCGTACACACTACCCTTCCCAGACCTCACGGTGTGGAATAATACTGGATATGTTGTTGTTGTGGTGGTGGTGGTGATGGTCTCTCTATATCTAAAGAGTATATTGTCTGAAAGCAGGTAGTTCATCATATACATGGGACATTGTTATCCGCAGTGTTAACAATTTCCTAATTTACTTTGTCCATCTATCTGTCTAGACGTGTATGTTTTTATTAATATTATTTTCTGGATAAGAAATGTAATGTCCAATTATATAAAAATGTGATATTGGAATTTGGATGCTTCCTGGATGCTGTTACCTTAATGGATCTTGCCTCTTTTTCATGCTACATACTTCAAGATTCAGAGTCTCGATATGAATATTTGCCCATCCTCCCAACCTAATCTCAACTCTCATCCTCTGCCACTATTTCAAAATTGGGTTATTTGACTTGAACTGATTGGTCTAACCTTATTAGCTGGCAAACGTCTGCATCTATGAATTAATGTTTTGGCCACATTATTGCATTGTCTTGTTTCCATTTAGTAGGCCACATGTACGGAAGGTCCTTTAGGCATGGTACTACTACATATTATTTCTATGTCCCCACATCCTCATTTCCAGAAGATTGAACTAGTAGTCGGTTGATGGTTTGGAAAAGAATCATTAATTTTGCTGCCCTTTGGTTGCTAAGAAAAGACTTTGTTCAAGTAAATAATGTCTTTGTTTTACCTCTCTACTGTGAGCGCTTAACCCTTTTATTGGACCATTTTACTGGCTTTCAAATGTTGGATGCTTAAATCAAAACAATGTCCTTGATTTGCCCATTTGGGATGTACTCTAAAGGAGGAATTTTTTGTAAATAGAATGCTTGAAATGGAACTTCTTATCATTCCAAGCAAGAGTAGCTCTTAGAACTGGCTGTTTTAAATTGAAACATTCAAAGTTAGTTCCTTATGGCGAATGTTACCTCCGTTAATTCATATACACATCCTATCCTCGCATATTACTTAACAAATCCAGCGTTCTAATTAACCAAACATGCAATAAACACAAGTCATTTTCAAATAGAAGATTAGATGGGGTTTTTTTTCCTTCTTTTAACCATTTGGTGGTATTCGTAGTTCATTGGCCAACAACTTATCAAGCATGTTGAGGGAGAGAACTTCCAGGAAATAGACGACAATATCCGTAAATAGGTACTTTGAAACTGGATACACCGTACAATGGACGATATTCTTGTTTCGGTTGGTGTAACAGTATATCTTTAAATGCTGGGCAAGTGGGGTGTACAATCAAACATCAAGGTAATATTTTTTTTTTTTTTTTGATAAGGACAGCAAAGTAATAATTGAACGTATGGGAACTCTAAATATAATAACTTACCATTTCTCAGCATGCGGTCACAGCTTAATTTTAAATATTTGGAATAACTAATCACCTTTCATTACGTTTCCATCACTAGCACTTAAACTGGATTAACGAGGAATTGAAGTTACCGCAAGCTATGGAATGAGATGTTTACGGCCACCACCGAAGATTGTGGTGAGGTGGTAAATATTCCTTCATCTTTAACTACAAGTTTTAATTTGACTCATGCGAATGAAGTTGTCTTTGATAAGAAACGCTTTATCCCTTCAAGTGGGAATTTTCGGCGCAAACTCGGGTTAGTGAGATTCAAAGTGGGTACTGGATAACGGGTGAAAAATAAAAAAACAAGTAATGCCGATATTGTAATAAATAATATTAGATGAATTATTTCAAGTAGTTAGTAAATTTTCACAGAACCAGCTTCCTTCAAAATTCCGATCACAAAATTAAAATCCATAATTCCAAAGATTTTCACTACTAGAAATCCGGTAAAAAGCGACCACAAAAAGCGGCCAAAGTTGGTCGCTTATAGGCCTAAAAGCGACCAAAAAGCGACCAAACATGCTTGGTCGCTATATTGCTGGTCCCTTTATTTTAGGGACCAAAGTTGGTCGCTAATTAGCGACCAACTTTGGTCTCTAAGGTAAAAGGACCAAATATTCCGGGTATTGACTATAGCGACCAACTTTGGTCGCTTTATTATTTTAATAATATAATTTTGGCAACCAAAGTTGGTCTCTAAATGTAAAATACGTTATTTATTTATTTATTATTAATCATAAAAAAGCGACCAACTTTGGTCTCTAATCCAAATATTATATTTTAAAATCTAGAAAATAGAGACCAAGGTTGGTCGCTATTTTATTAATTTTTTTAATTTTTTTTAAAAATAAGCGACCAAAGTTGATCGCTAATTTCAAGAATTTAATTTTTTTAAAATATAAGCGACAAAAGTTGGTCGCTATTTTTCCAGAAATTGTTTTTTTTAATGGAATAGCGACCAAGGTTGGTCGCTTTTTTAGAAATCTGGGTAAATAGCGACCAACTTTGGTCGCTATTGCCCAGAAATTAATTTTTGTAAAATGAAAAGCGACCAAAAAGAGACCAAAGTTGGTCGCTTTTCTGAGTATTATTTTGGCAGAAACTGTCTGTTTTGGCAGCTACACCACCTGCCAGCATACCAAATCCCTATTACAAGCAACAACAACAACAATACCAACAACAACACAACAACAACAACAACAACATTAAAACCAACAAAGTATAATGTTCAATAGAACTAACACATTAAGCTAACAAAACTAAGTTAACGCTTATTCCAAGCCCATTCGAAAACTAGTTCTATTGTCTAGTTCAAAGTATATAAAGTACTCAAGGAGTGTACTTTCAGCATCCTCGTCCGAAAGTTGGATTGCCTCGCCCGACTCATTAGGTGGCTGACTGCGTATGAATTCCTCCACATCAGCTGTGAAGCGAACCTATAAGAAAAATTATATTAAATTAGTATTTCAAAATTTATATAAAAGTAAATAAAAATACTTAATGAAAAGTAAAAAACTTACATGTATAGTCGAGGCTCGGCCCTCGACCCACCTTTCTGGATCAGTCTCTTTCTTCTTCTTTACAATACGAGTCTCATTGAATAGCTCATCTTGCTTCATTGGCATCATAAAGCTGTCTGGTGGCTTTGGTGATTATCCTCGTGGTACTATTACTCAGGATGAACTTGCATACAAAGAATATGTGACGACCCAAAGGGGTTCATCACCTGTTTTAAATGAATACTGTGCTTCTGAGGCCTTGAAAACCTCGTTTAGAGTCGCTTCGATTTGCGTGTGCAGTCCAGGCGCGTAGCCGGAAAGCTTAAATGTGAAATTCTATGAAAAATGCTAAATTTCGATGTTAAAATGAATAAATTTGACTTTGGTCAACATTTTAGGTAAACGGACCCGGACCCGTGATTTGCCTGTCTCGGAGGGTCCGTAGGAAAATATGGGACTTGGGCGTATGCCCGGAATCGAATTCCGAGGTCCCAAGCCCGAGAAATGAATTTTTTTGTAAAATTGTTTTCTGAAATTGTTTAAGAAAATTGGAAATGAAATTTGATTAGCAAGCGATGGTATCGGGCTCGTATTTTGGTTCCGGCGCCCGGTATAGGTCTTATATGTGTTTTAAGTCTTTCCTGTGAAATTTGGTTGAAAACGGACGTCGTTTGACATGATTCGGACTTAAATTGGAAAATTTGATGTTTTATGAAGTTTGAAAGAATTCATGGATTTTGAGGTTTAATTCGATGTTTATGATATTATTTTGGCGATCTGATCGCACGAATAAGTCCGTAGGATGTTTTTGAGGTTTTATGTATATTTGGGTTTGAATTCCGAGGGCTCGGGTGAGTTTCGAGTGGGTTCCGGGATGCCTTAAGCTTAGAAAAATCAGATGTTGCAGGTTCAGGAGTTCCAGGTCTCTGAACCCTCTAGCGCGGTCCGCGAGAAATCGCGTGCGGCCGCGGTCGCCTTTGTACGGGGCGCGGTGAAGGCTGTGCGGCCGCAGACGGCTTTGTGCGGTCCGCACAGGGTCCTGAACTGCAGGTCTTCAGGTAAGACTGTACGGCCGCGGTCCATTTAATGCGGTCCGCACAGGGGGTCTCAGAGGGGTATAAATAAACGGGATTTTCAGTCATTTTTCACTTTTCAAAACCCTAAAAACATAAGAGGCGATTTTTCAAACAACCTTTCTTCTCCAAAACGTTGGTAAGTGATTTCTAACATATTTTCTTCACTCCTTAACATCTTTTAACATGGTTTCAACTTAAAATCAAAGATTTTCATGGGGACATTGTGTGTTTTGGGTAGAATCTAGGTTTCTCAAAATTTGGGAATTTGGACCTCAATTTGAGGTCCGATTTCTAAACAAATTATATATTTGAGTTCGTGGGGGAATGGGTACACGGGTTTTGGTTCGAACCTCGGGTTTTGACCACGTGGGCCCGGGGGTGATTTTTGACTTTTTGGGTAAAACTTGGAAAAACTCATTTTCATGCATTGGGGTTGATTCATTTAGTGTTTATTAATGTAATTAAGTAAATTGTGATTAGATACGAGCGAATTGGAGGTGGAATCACGGGGTAAAGCTATACTTGAGGCTTAAGTTGTGTGCAAGGCATTGAGGTAAGTGTTTGGTCTAACCCTAGCTTGAGGGACTAGGAGTTGAGTCTTATTTGCTAATTGCTTCTTGTTGAGTACGACGTATATGCATGGTGACGAGTATCTATACGTTGGTGTCTAGCATGACCGTGAGTCTTTAAATTGTGAATATCTTGATTTCGTTGTATTTCTCTTGCGTTG